CTTTATCAGTGTCTTCAATAAAAATTTCTTCATTATCATCATCTTTTACAGGCTCGTTAATTTCGTCTTCGTTGCTGTGATTCTCATCATTTTCATTTTCTTCGGTAATAATGCTTGAACTCTAAAATGAGTGAGTACATTCTTAAAACAAAGATTAACAATCAACGATAATCTTAGGATTGTAATAATTAAACGTACCGTCTTTTTTTTCTTTTATCCACCTTTCCCAATCTTTTTGAATCGATTCTTCCTAAAAATAAGAAAAATAAATAAAAAAAAAAAATAAAGCACGTACTTCAAAATTTGCGTCGACAACTTCAAATACTTACATCAAAAGTTATTGTACTGAGTACATCATGGTTAGTGCCACTTTTTAAAGCCTGATTGTAGGTTGTTTTATATTGTTCGATGGCGCGATTTTGTTTGCTTGGTGTAACCCAGCGAAAAAATTCCAACGGGGTTGGACTTGTTGAAGTTAGGAACTCATTTGCGCAGGAGTCAATCGCTTCATTAGGATGACACTTGGAGTTTGTGAAGCTTTATTATTTTCCAAACTTATGCAAGGTCGATTTTAATCAGTTCTTCAAAGAATCTATTAATAAAAAATAAGGCATAAAATTGAAGGCTTTACTTTATTTAAATGCAGGATGACATTAAATGATGACGAAATTCTAAAAAAAAAAAAAAAAAAAAAAAATTTCTCTTTAAAATCATTTTTAAGGCTGTGTATTCCGACTATAGAAATAAATATATTAAAACAACTACAACATTCAAATCGCTTGATACTACGGCTGCGATCACGTTTTTTTTTTTTTTTTTTATGGCATCAATTAATTATGAGTCTCTTTATTTTTAAGTGAGCAGCTGCGGCAGAAAAAAATTTTTTTTTGATTATGAAAAAATTATCACATAATGACTTCTTCATACGGACCGTCACGTCATTTAATAAATTTCTGAAATTTGAAGTGAATTTTTTTGTTTTTATAACATTCATCAACGTACATTGTACCTCAGTAACATCAATCAATAGTCTCGCTAAGGAAGAAAATTTTTGCGAATAATCAGTTCGTTTAAAATTTTTTCCGACAATATATATAAAAAATAAACCAATGAAATCATGGTTGATCTCAAAATAAATGACATCACGTCATATGTTTATCGCTAAAATAAAACAAATCTTTTATTTTTCTTTCCATTTTGCCGGAATTTTTTTGTTTTCTCTATTTTCATAACTTTTTCTAAAAATTTGCTAAAGTTGTTTACCAGGTAAGCTGGTTTGCTTTCTGCTTAAGGTCTACTGAGTAGCTTCCGTTTGTTTAGATCTGCTGATTCTGGAAGAGGAA